CTGCACACCAAGGGTGGGGGTGGGGCTCCCGGCCCTGGCTGATGGCCCTCCGTGCGTGGCAGGTGGGGACACACATCCGCGCCAAGAGGAAGAGAGAGGAGCTGAGCAGCGTCCTGGCGGCCATGAGGAAAGCGGCAGCCAAGAAGGACTGAACCCCCGCTCTCTACACAAGAAAGCCTTTTCAGGAACTTGGGGTATTCCGTCTGGTCCATCTGCTCAGAGCCCCCTGCTGCCACCCTCCTTCCTGGGCCACAGAGGTGTGGGCATGTGGCAGTAGAAGAAAAAAGAAGCAGGCAGTACTGGAAATGGTGTTTTAATCATAACTAAATAAGTCATATGCCAGGCTCAGTGATTGGGCTGTAAGTCAGGTTCCTGAGCCTCGGGGGGCTCAGCTGCCCGGGGCCTCTGCCCTGCTGGGCCCGTCGGTGCCAGCCACGCCCAGGCTGCCGTCACCGCTCCAGGGCCAGAGCCTCGGCCTGCTCCTCGGGGAAGGCTATGGCGAAGATTTCATGGTAGTGCTCCACGAAGTGGACCTCCAGGCCCTCGGTAATGAAGGCAGCCAGGCCGTAGAAGTCCTTCTTGTTCTCGGCCGGCAGGACAACGCATGTCACGCCAGCGCGTTTGGCCTGAGGGGACAGCAGGTCAGCCAAGGGCAGAAATGGGGTTAGGAGCCTAGGCCTCGTCCTGGAATCCCCACCCTGTGGTGTCAGGGGGAGACGTTTCCTGAATCCACGGCAGTGCCCACTGCCTTACACTTAGCGGTTCACACTTACTTGTGCAGGGGGGGAGCTGGAAAGGAACCGTGAGTGCATTTGAAATACAGCCAACATGACATTTCCCTGCTTGCCTGGAATTCCAGCCCGATAGGCCCGGGCCTCTGCACTGCCATCCCTCAGCCTGAATCCACCCCTTGGAGGACAGGGACTCGGTCCACGGGAACTCCTGGAGCCTCTGTCCCCCTGTGGAGACCCTGCCCCCCAAAGGCTGTTAGGCGGGGTGCTGTGGAGGGTGCTCTGCCAAGGGTAAGATGGCACGGGTGTGCCTCTGGTCTCGGCCCACCAACCTAGTTCCCATGCAAGGCCCCATGGGCGAGGGGGCAGCAGGCGGGGCGGGGGTCCCACTGCCATCCTCCAGGAGCCGGACGGGTACTTTCTCATGAAGAGGCCCTGAGCATGATGCAAATGACTGGAGGGGCAGCCACAGGCCCAGTCCCGTGCCACCCTAGGCTTCGCTTTGTCAGCCTATAAAACCGGCCATCCACCTTCGTTGCCCAACCCGTGTAATGGTGCTCCTTATGGCGATGGTCTTCTCCTTGATGCCGCCCATGGGCAGGATCTTGCCAGTGAGAGAGACCTCGCCGGTTATGGCCAGATTCTGCCGCACGGGCCGGTCCATGGCCAGCAAGAGCAGAGCTGTGATGATGATGCAGCCTGCGCTCGGGTCGTCCTTGGGGGTGGCGCCCTTGGGGGAGATGCAGGTGGGTGGTGGGCCCCACTGCACGCAGCGGTCAGGGCCAGAGTGGGGGCCTGGGCGGGGCCCTCACCTCGGGCACGTGCAGGTGGAGGTGGGAAGTCACCAGATCCTCGGAGGGGTCGTGCTGCACCAGGAAGGCCCTGACAAAGGTGTAGGCGATGCGGGCACTCTCCTTCATCACCTTCCCTAGCTGGCCTGTGACCTTCAAGCTTCCGTCCTTGTCCCCCTTGTCCTTGACCCTCGGCCACCCCAGTGACAAACAGCACAGCGTAGAGCCGCCTAGGAGTGGAGAAGGCGGAGCCTGTGAACTCAGGTTCCCACTGGGGGTGCTAGGCAGATTTTAAAGCCTAGTTCCTGCTCAGGGAACTCCTGCCTGGAGTGACCTGTCCATTCAGCAGGGCCGTGTTTGCCGCGGAGGTAATAAATGAAGGCAACCAGAGCATGATGGCCTCATAGGATCTTTACAACGAAGTTCGTAGAGTGATGATTACTTAAACAGACCCAACAAAATGAAAGATACACTTGCCTGAAGACAGCAAGTAAGTGGAGAGTAGGGTCTTCCAGGAAGGTTTCCTAGTAGGGTTCGCCTCAGAGTCTGACAAGATGGGTCATATCCAACTCTCCCATTTCCCCACACCGATGCTCAGAGTGCGGTCCCGGACCAGCGGCTTCAGCACCCGTCACCTGGGAATTTGTTACATTTGCAGTTCCCCGAATCAGTGATGCACAGTTGATCTGGTGCAGATCAGAAGTTTGAAAAGCCTCAGGTGTAAACATTCTCCCAGCCACCAACACCCCCCTTCCGACAATAAAAAAAGAAAAGAAAAAGCAAGCTTTGGAATAGGAGTTCTGAATCTGGGGTCTGCAAATGAACCTTTATGGGCCCTTAGCAAATGTACCTCCATACTTGCACGTGTCTGTGGGAGAGGAGAGGAGGGCCGAGTTTCATCAGATGTTCCAGGGGCTCCCCAAACCCTAAAGGCGCCAGGAACAGGTCCTTTAGGGTTAACTCAGAGGCACCCTGGTCGGAGTCATGCGGAACATTCAATAAACATTGACTGGTGGTCCCTCCTGTCGTTTAACTTCTAGTACTCGTACGGTGAGGACAGGAAAGGTGTTCCACACCGGACATCAAATTCAAGGGGTAGGTGGCTCCATATGTTAATGAACTTCACAGTCATTCTTTGCTTTTGTCTAATCACTTGATCAGAACAACCACTGCCTAGTATTTTCTTGGGTGTGGTGTTGTGACAAGCCTAGAACATGCCCGAGCCCTTGCCCTTTGAAATAAGGGGTTTGTCTTTCCCATTTCATTAAAAAGCAAGGTCAGGTGACCTGAACAAAGCTAGGAGATAGAAGTGGCTTGAGAACTACAATCACCCGCGTCTTTATCCAGTGTTCTATTTGATAGGGGGTTTTAAATCTAGAATAACATAGGCAGTGAAGTGCTCCTTATGTCTGGGTTACGTGACTGGCTTCATTGCATACGGCCCATAACTGTGGTCTCCTTTGTTATGTATCTGTATTCCTGGTCTGTTAATGTGTGTACATTAGTTAATTAATAGTCTGTTAAAACCTATACACGCTTATACTACTCTACAAGAAGCTGTCATAGAAATAATCATCTCACATTTTTCTTCCGTTTGCCTCTTTAACTTTTCTTCTCCCTTCCTGAATACAACCCTTTTTCTAAAATTTGTGCCTCATACCTAGAATTGTAGTGCCCCAAAGCCTTTCCAGCTAATGAAGATACCTCAAGACCAGCGCTGGGCATAGTAGCCATGAAGCACAAATTTTCAAAAAGGCAGAAAACTAACAGCCTCTTTGAAGAATACTACTCTCTCACCAACCCCACATCTCCTTGTGTAGCCCCGAAGATGGCTGGTTAGCCAGAGACGGGTGAGATTCCTCAAGGGAGGAACAACCGAAGGCAGGCACAGTCGCAGGGGGGCCATCAGGTGAGAGATTGGGGGCCAACAGAGGTGAGGCCTAGAACCTCAGCCCCCCAGTTTGAGAGAAAGCTTCTGCCCCCATGGCTGTTGCCCCTGCTCAGCTCAGGTCAAAACCCGGTCTATAGGCATAGCCCTGCTCACCTGCGATCACCTTCTAATTGCACTGAATCTATTTTCTGTCTTTATTTCACATCACGTAAATTCAAGAAGCGGACTTTTATTTCATACTGCAGAATGTGGGGAAGTGAGCTATGTTAAAGCCCTCCTGTTAGAAACTGTCTACTTGCTATATTCTTTATTATTATTTATCTACTACTTAAAAGGGAAATGTGGGATTAATGGGGTTAATACATTAATCAAGTAGAATAGAAATCAAATGTACAAATACATATGACTTCATTGTTTTTCCTACAACTCTTGACCCGTAATCAAAAACAGAATGATTAGAGCCGAAACAGCTCCTACCACCCCTGAGCGTCCTCACGTGGTGTGGGTATCCTTGAGAGTCGTGCCCTTGGGCTAGACTCAAGGTCAGATAATTGTGTGCTGATCATGTGTTGAACCCCCTACTCAGAATTTAGATGTTTAAGTCCATTTGCTCAATAAATATGCGGAGTGTCTTTTCGTTACTCTTGCGCTGTGATGGCTGGCCTCTCGGATCTCAAGCATTCCGCATTCCGTCGCGTTCCCTCCAGATCTGCGGGTCAGAAGCAGAGGGGAGCCGACCAGTGGTCAAACTGCAGTGAAAAGCCAAGAGTGCGGGTCAGAGCAAGTCCTAACGTGTCTTTCCTGCATTACAAACAGGCTTCACACTTCCCTGTGATGCCGGGTTCTTGTTTGCGGAGTTGAAGAGTGAACTCAGCAAACAGTTAAAGTCAGAGAGCCAGGGAGACTTATTGAGAGAGACAGTGAGAGGACAGACGGAGCTCCTGGCTTGAGCCAGGAGGGGACAAGAGAGCCCGGGGTGGTGCGTTGTCCAGGGGTTTTATAGGCAGTTGAGGATATTTGGGAATGTGAAGAAAAACCTCAGGGGTGTGGACTTGTTAAGTGGTCTCTGAATATTAAAAATTAACATAAGGAATTTCCTGTCTTGATTTCTCCCTGGGATACTGGCATCTTGGTCTGGGAGCATATCAGAAGGCCGCCTTCCCAGTCCCCAAGGTGGGTGAGGTATTGTCTGTTGCTAAAGAGTAAGTTAGAATCTTACTTGTTAAACTTCCTGGATGTTAAATACAATCTTGTCTTTAAGGTGGAATCTTTCCTGCCTTTTACTGTGTGGTTTATGCCTGGGCTTACTTGCTAAATTAGTTGCCCAGTTTGCAAAGTCACTTCATCAGATCTGAAGGAGGAAAGACAGCACATAGGCCTGGGCCTTTTAGCATACTAAAGTGAAACTTACACATGATTACAAATGATTAGCGTAATAAAAACGTGTTACTTTTCTTTATCTGGGAAATATTAACTGATCTCACTGAAGAATGACTCTAGAGCTGAATGTTTAACACAGAGTGTTGGTAGGGGGTTCCCTTGCTTGTAGTCACACTGCTCTCTGACTGTAAATATCCTGCCCTGCTTTGTCCAGAGGCCTTCACCCTACTGTCTAAACCCATATCCCTGTCTCACTGGGGGCGCAGCACTGCCTTCTCTTCTTCCTTTCCCTCATGGAAGGGCTTCTCCCAGGTGTCTGCCCATCTGGCCTTCAGAGATTTGGGCAAGAATTGAAAGCAGGGTCTTGAAGAGATACTTCCCACCCACGTTCAGAGCAGCCTGATTCACAGTAGCCAAGACAGCGAAGCAGCCCAGCTGTCCAGGGGTGGATGAATGGATATACACAACACGGTCTATGCACCCGCTGGAATATTACTCAGCCTTAATAAGGAAGGAATCCTGACACCTGCTGCGATGTGGGTGGACCTTGAGGACACGGTGCTTAGACCTTGAGACACAGAAGCACAGACCCTGTCTGATCCCACTCCTCGGAGGTTCCTGCGGGGGTCACATCGCAGAGACAGAAAGTACATGGTGGGGCCGGGGACTGGGGGAGGGGCGGGGATTAGCTTTTCACGGGGCCAGTGCGTCAGCCTGGGGAGGTGGGCCGTTCTGGAGATGGAGGGCGGGATTGGCTGCACAGCTGTGTGAAGGTGCATCATGCCACGGAGCTGTGCACTGAGGATGGTTCAAGATAGTGACGTATCTGTACTTTATCTCAAGACTTTAAAACTTTCATGAAACATAGATTTGGGCAAGAAGTTTATACCTGCAGGCTTGGCAGAGCCCCTCATCCATTTACTCAACAGTGATTTCCTGAGGACCTGCGCTCCAAGCCTGATTCTGGACCGGGTTTTCTCGACTGCGGCTCTTGACTTTGGGGCCCCTCTCTGTGGGGGACCGTCCTGGGCACTGTAGAGCCCTGAGCAGCCTCCCTCGTCTCTACCCACTTGATGCCAGGGGCACCCCTCTGTTATGACAACCATAAATGTCCTCAGCCCTTGCCAAGCGTCCTCTCTGAGCAGAACTGCTCTTGGTCATGAACCTCTGTTCCAGGTGTTGAGGACGCAGGAGAGAAGATGGGAAAGGTGCCCGTCCTAATGGAACTACTTAGATGGGCAGTCAGGGCAGAGGTAAGATGCAGGCAAGCCCATGACACGGGCTGGGGAACTGGCATTTCACAGGGGCCCCCGACACAAAGGTCACACAGTTCCCCAGGGAGGTGCCAGCCTGGCATGCAGGTTTCCAAAGGAAAGAACTGAGAAAGGTTCCCCGCTCAGAGCCTGCTCACCTGCCCCGAGGGCGAGGGAGGGCGCAGTGGGCGTTGGAAGGGAACTTAGTAGAAGGAAGGACATCTCAGCAGACAACTTGCGGGGTGCTGAGGGCTTGGTGCGGGGAGGGGTCTGATTGCCCCTCACTCCCTCCCAGTGGGGGGGAGCTGAAGGGCACACCTTGGCTCTGAGACCCTTAGGAGCAGAGTGGCGTGATGCTGAAGGTGGAGGGAGGCGTGTGGACCAATGTCTGCTTCCTGCCCAGAAGGGTAAGACGGAGGGCACCTTACACCTTATCCTTAAGCCTGTGTTGGCTTCCCTCCAAAGAAGATAAGCAAGAGGTGGTTCCTGGATCTCTAGGAACTAGAGGCAGGAATGCAGGTGACAACCCACCGAGCAAGGGGACAGTGGGGAATTGTGTACCCAGGGCCTGCCTCACAAGATCCCCTGCATCTTAGTTAATGCTCTGCTGTCACTGTCATGAAATCCTACTTTTTCTTTTACAACTTGTGCACTGTACCTAAAAAAACTTTTTAATTGAAGGGTTGTTGACATATGATATAATCTAAGTCCAGGTGCACAACATGCTGATTCAACAATTATATCACAAAATGCTCGCTGTAAGTGTAGTCACTAACTGAACCATGCAGTTATTATAATTTTATTGACTCTATTCCCATGCTGTCTGTTTCATCCCTGTGACATATTTATTTTATAACTGGAGGTTTGTACCTCTTGATCCCTATCATCACTTTGCCCCACTGCCTACCTTCCTCCCCTATGGCAACCACCCGTTTGTTCTCTGATATTTATGAGTCTATTTCTGTTTTTGTTTGTTTCATTTTTTAGATTCCACAGGTAGGTGAACTCACAGTGTTTGTCTCTCTCTGACTTACTTCACTTAGCAGGATGCCCTCTAGGTCCATCCCTGTGGCTGCGAATGGCGAGAGTTCACTCTTTCTTATGGCTGAGTAGTAGTCCAGTTTGCACGTGTACTTATGTCTTTATCCATTCATCCATTGATGGATACTTAGGTAGCTCCCATATCCTGGTTATTCTGAGTAATGCTGCAATAAACATAGGGTTGTGTATATCTTTTTGAACTAGTGTTTTTGTTTTCTCCAGGCAAATACCCAGAAGTGGGTGACCTTCTTCATAGTGTCTGAGCGAGGAGGCTTCTCCGCCACAGGCTGATGTGGGATAAAGCGCAGTATTCTATCTCCATGAACTTTGGTTTCCTTCTTCCCGGTGCTAAGCGAGAAGAGAGATGAGTGGTAGTTAAACATCAGTGGAAAGCAAATCTTTCGGGGGGGAGAGCCATGGTGTTATAGGTTGCTGCTGAACTTCTGAAGAGGTTCCCCTTGACCCAGATGGCTGTGGGTAATTGGATTTTCTTGAAAAGTGATGGGGCAGGCACTCCACCTTGTCCTGTCTCTCTTTCAAGGATGTATGACTCTAACTTGACTGGCCAAAACGCACTGTAAACCGACGTCAAATTAAAATGACTTCCTCTGTGCAGGCAGCTCTGCTATCACGTGAAATGTACATTCCTAAAAATCACTGCATATGGGCAAAATGACGCAATACAAACCACAGGGCTGTGGTAACATAGTCAAAAACTTCGTCAGTGAATCACACACCTAGAAAAGAACCTAATGAACCTGAAGGCAGAATTTTTAAGTAACCACTTTATTGAGATATATTTCATACACTGTGACATTCATCCTTTCAAAGCACGTAATTCAGCAGTTTTGAGAAGATACACTGAGTTGTGCAACCATCGCCATTATCGATTTTAGAGTATCATCTTCCCAAAAAGAAACCACATACATGTCAGCCGTCACTCCCCATCCCCTCCTCCAGCCTGTGATAACCACTAACCTATTTTCTGTCCCCACAGATTTGCTTATTCTGGACATTTCACATAAATGGACTCATACGATATTTGTCCTTACGTCTCTGGCTTCTCTCACGGAGCGTCATGTTTTGGAGGTTCGTCTGCCTGGTAGCGTGTGTCAGCGATCCACTACCTTATATTTTATTACTCCATTGTATGGACTTACCTTTGTTTATTAATTCATCCATCTTTTGGTGGATATTTGGATTTACTTTGGGCTATGATAAATAATGCCACTGTGAAAATCTGTGTACAAGTCTCATGTTTGCGTGTGTATTCGTCTGTTGGCTGTATATACTCAGGAGTTCGCTGGGTCATATAGGACTCTGCTTAACTTTTCAAGGAGCTGCCCTACTGTTTTCCAAAGTAGCTGCACTATTTGACATTTCCACTAGCAGCATGAAAGGGTTCCTTTTTCTCCACATCCTCTCTCATGAGCTGTCATTATCTGCCTTTCTTATTACAGCTGGCCCAGTCAGTGTGAAGCATTAATACCTCGTTGTCGTTTCAATTTGTTATTTTCTTGATGACTATTTTGAACGTCTTATCATGTGCATATGCCTATTTGTATATGTCCTTTAAAGAAATATTTGTCTGTTTTAAAATTGCATTTTTTTTTTTTTACTGTTCAGCTGTAGATAGTATTCTTATGTTTCTAGGTGCAAGTCCCTTATCAGATATGTGACTTGTAAATATTATCTCCCATTTTGTGGGTTGTGTTTTCACTCTACTGATGGTGCCCTTCGAAGCACAAAAGCTTTAAAATTTTGAGGAAGTCTAGTTTATGTATTTTTACTCTTTTTACTTGTGCTTTTGGTACCATATTTAAGAACCCATCGCCAAACCCAAGGTCATGAAGATTCGCTTCTCTATTTTCTTCCAAAAGCTTTACACTTTCAGCTCTCACATGTAGGTCCGCAGTCTGTTTGAAGGTGGTTCTGTGTGTGTTGTGAGGTTCGGGTCCAACTTCTTTTGCATAAGGGTGTCCAGCTGTCCCAGCACCACTGGAAGGAGACACGGTTTTTCCCCACTGAATGGTCCTGGCATTTTTGTCAAATATCAACGGGTAGTAAATGTGCAAGTTTATTTCCAAACTCTCAACGCTCTTCACTTTTATGCCAATATCACAGTGTAGCTTTGTAGTGTATTTTAAGATCTGGAATCATGAGTTTTCCAATTTTGTTCTTCTTTTTCAAGGTTATTTGGGCTATTCTGGGTTCCCGGCATGTCTATAGGAAGTTTGGAATCAGCTGGTCAATTTCTGCGGGAAAAAAAAAAAACGAAACAGCTGGATTTTGATACAGATTACATTGAGTCTGTAGGTCAGTTTGGGGAGTATTGCCATCTTAATATTAAATCTGATTAAATCTGAGCAGGGGACGTCTTGATTTGCTAGGGTATTTTTAAATTTCTTTCAATGATGTTTTCTAGTTTTCATTGTACGATTCTTGTCTTCTTTTATTAAATTAATTCCTACATCTTCTTTTTTATTGAAGTGTCATTGATACACAATCTTATATTGGTTTCAAATATACAACTCAGTGGTTCAACAGGTACCCATATTATTAATCCTCACCCCCACTAGTGTGGTTACTATATCAACATAGGAAGATGTTACAGAATCATTGGCTGTATTCTCCATGCTGTACTGCCATCCCCATGACCAATTTATATCATGATTGAGAATCTCTGTGCCATTTTATCTCCCTCACTCTCCCCATCCACCTGCCCCATCCCCTTCCCCAGGGTAACCGTCAGTCCCTTCTCAGTGTCCGTGAGTCTACTGCCACTTTGTTCATTTTGTTTTGCTTCGTTTTTATCCTCCACAAATAAGTGAAATCATTCGGCACTTGTCTTTCTCCACCTGGCTTAGTTCACTTAGCTTAATACCCTCTGATCCATCCATGTTTGCAAATGGCACGGGTTTTCTTGTGGCTGAATGATATTCTATTGTGTATATGTACCACTTCTTCTTTATCCCTTCATCTATTGATGGACATTTTGCTTGCTCCCATATTGTGGTTATTGTAAATAATGCAGCGATAAACATAGGGGTGCATCTATCTTCAAACCAGGGATTTCGGTTTTTTCAGATGAATTCCTAGAAGTGGAATGACTGCATCAAATGGTATTTCTACTTGTAGTTTTTCAAGGAATCTCCATACTGCTTTCCACGGTGGCTGCACCGATTTATGTCCCCAGCAACAGTGTAGGAGGGCTCTCATTTCTCCACATCTTCGCTAACACTTGTTATTTCTTCTCTTTTGGAGGGTGACCATTCTGATGTGAGGTGATACCTCCTTGTTGTTTTTAATTTGACATCTATCACTCTTTTTGGTGTTACTATAAATGGAATTCTTTGAATTCCATGGTCAGATCGTTCATTGCTAGTGTACAGAAAAGCAACCGAGCTGTGTGTCGATCTTTTACTCTGCCACTTGGCTGAACTCATTCATTAGTCTTTAATGTGTTCCTTTGGATTTTTCTACGTACAAGAACATGTCATCGCTAAATAGAGATAGTTTCTCTGTCACCTTTCCAGTCTGGGCCCCTTTTATTTTTCTTGCCTAATTGCCTTGGCTAGGACCTCCAGTACAATGCTGAATAGAAGTGGTCAGTGCAGACATCCTTGTCTTGGTCCTGATCATAGCGGAAAGGCATTCAGTGTTTCGCCATTAAGTATCATTATCCGTGATGTTTTTGGAGCTGCTAGATACCCTTTCTACCAGGCTGAGAAAGTTCTCTGTTCCTAGTTTGAATGATTTTATCATGAAAGCTTGTTGGATTTTGTCAAATCCTTTTTCTGCGTCCATTGGGATCATTATTGTTTTTGTCCTGTATTCCACTAAAATGATTATTTTTTAAAATGTCAGACCAACTTAGTAGTCTTGGGATAGGCTCCACTTGGTTGTGTCGTATAAATCTTCCCATATGTTGTCGGATTTGGTGTGCTAGTATTTTGCGGAGCATTTTTGCACCTGTGTTCATAAGGGGTCTTACTCTGTAGTTTGCTTGTGATGTCTAGTCTGGTTTTGGTATCAGGATAGTACTGGTCTCTTAGCATGTTAGAATGGCCTCCTAGAGAATCTCCTCCTCTTCCATTTTTATTTATTTATTTTTATTTTGCTACCATTAATGTACAATTACATAAACAACATTATGCTTACTAGATTCCCCCTATTATCAAGTCCGTGCCCCCCCTACATTATGTGTGCCGATCATAATGCCCCTTTTTCCCCCTTATCCCTCCCCTCCCACCCATCCTCCCCAGTCCCTTTCCCGCTGGTAACTGTCAGTCCGCTCTTGGGTTCTGTGCGTCTGCGGCTGTTTCGTTCCTTCAGTGTTTGCTTTGTTCTTATGCTCCACAGAGGAGTGAAATCATTTGGTGCTTCTCTTTCTCCGCCTGGCTTATTTCAGTGAGCATGACACCCTCTAGCTCCCTCCATGTTGTTGCAAATGGTAGGATTTGTTTCCTTCTTAATGGCTGAATAATATTCCATCCTTCTCTTCTATTTTTAAGAACACTTTGTGAAGGACTGATGTTAATTGTTCTTTAAAATTTGGTAGAATTCACCACTGAAGCCACCTGGTCCTAGAATATTCTTTGTGGGAAGTTTTAAAATCACCAGCACAATTTATTTGTTATATGTTCACTCAGACTTTCTATTTCTTGAGTCAGTTTTGGGAGCTTATGGCTTCCTAGGAATTTTCCCACTTCATCTCGGATATCTGATTTATTGGCAAACAACTGTTCATAGTATTGTTTTACCATCTTTTCAATTTCTATAAGGTTGGTGGTAACGTCTCCTCTTTTGTTCCTGGTTTTAGTAATTTGAGTCTTCCCTCTTTTTATATTGGTTGGTCTAAAGGTTTGTCAATTTTGTCGATCTTTTCAAAGAACCAACTTGTGGTTTTATTCTCTTTGTCAATTTTCTATTCTCTATTTCATTTATTCCTGCTTTAATAATTACTATTTCATTCCTTCTGGTAGCTTTGGGTTTAGTTTACTCCTGTTTTCCAGTTTCTTAAGGGTGAAACGTTTGATTATTGATTTGAGATCTTTCTCTCTCTTTGTGGCTGTGACTGCCTGTTTTAAAAATTTCTTCTACTTTAGCTGGAGCTCACAAATTTTGGAATTGTGCTTCACTCTCATTCACATCAAAGTTTTTTCCAATTTCTCTCAGGATTTCCTCTGTGAAATAGCAGTTTTACCCATGTTCAATGGTTAAGAAATACAGAAATACTACTGGAAATATGGCACCACATTGGGACAAATTTGAGCTTTGTTTGGATTCTGTTAAAACAAAAGTTATAGCAGAATGGACTATACAGTGTACAAGTTACCTCCCATCACACCCTAAAACTTTATCCTTCACCTTCCCATTTCAGGTCCATCAGAATGTTCCCCAAAATGTACCTCCAGTCCACCCACTGGGCTTCACCCCCACTGCCAGGTCCCTAATTCAAGCCACCATCCTTTTCAGTTCTGGAACTGAAGACTCCCAAGTTCTGTCTTTGTGTTTTCCTACAATCTGTTCCCCACCCAATGAGCTTTTAAAATCACAGATCACACATCTCCCTCCTGTTCAAAGCCCTCCAGTGGCTTCCCAGCCTGAAGAAGACCCCTGCCCACGGCCTCTGAATGAAGTGGTCCATCCCTTCCATCTTTGTTTCAGAATCGCCTCCCAACCCATTCATGCCTTTCCTCTGCTCCAGCCATGCCAAAGGACCCTGCTGTTTTCTCAAAACACACTTGCACCCCAGGGAGTTTGAATTCCTGAAATTTTCTTTCCTTCTTCCTCATTATTCCTGCCTTGGCCCAAATTTCACCCCCTCAGAGAGGTCTACAGTGACCAGCTCTTCCTGCCTTGTCCAGGAATTTCCCAGATTTAGCACTGAAAGTCCCATGTCCCGGGAAACCCCATAATCTCAGGCCAACCAGGATGGCTGGTCACCCTTGCAGGGTCATCTGTGGCTGCTCTGTGCAAAGTAAGCTCCAGCCACTCACCCTCCAAGTTACCACTGTGTCACTTGTCCTGTAAGTGTGTTGACCAGATTAATGATTGAATGAAAGGAAGTGATTCCTTCAAGCTTCAGTGTAAGACTTTGTTCCATGAAAATCTGCAATAAACAGCCCTTTAGAAAGTGGTGAAATGAGAGTGAGTCGCCATCAGAATTTTCATTAAAATAAAACAATAGGAAAACAAACATTATCTAAAGTATCATATCATGAACATTTTGTTTTAGTTATATATGCATTTGTGTGGACCAGACCTCTGGGTAAAATGTATCTCCAGCTGCCGTGTTGTGGTCTAAAATGTTCAGCAAGTGGTCAAGTGCGTGGGCTTTGGCACCAGACGGCTCAGGTCCGAAGCCCTTACAAGCTGACCCTGGGCAAATGGACACATGCTTTCTGAACCTCATTTTCCGATCTGTAAAATGGGGACACTGCACGGCACCTCAGGACGTGATTGTGAGATTTAAAA